ACTTCTAACCACGCTCTTCTGTTGGCCTTGGTATATCTGGTTGGGGGATATTGACAAACTTCCAACCATGCTCTTCTGTTGATCTTGGTATATCTGGTTGAGGGACATTGACAACCTTCCAACCACGCTCTTCTGTTGACCTTGGTTTATCTGGTTGATGGACATTCCTGATAACTTCAAGGAAATCTCTTCTTAGATGTATTTCTTTTATCTTAGTAAAAATGACAATGTCAGTTAAACAACAATTTGTTTCTTAGACGTGTTTGTTTTACCCTATTAACGGTGATAATGTGACATAGACAATAATGTATCACTTAGACGTGTTTATTTTACCCTATTAACGGTGATAATGTGACATAGACAACAATGTATCTCCTAGACGTGTTTGTTTTACCCTAGTAACGGTGATAATGTGACATAGACAACAATGTATCTCTTAGGCGTGTTTATTTTACACTAGTAACGGTGATAATGTGCCATAGACAACAATGTAGCTCTTAGACGTGTTTGTTTTACCTTAGTGAAGGTGATAATGTCACATAGACAACATTGTATCTCTTAGACGTGTTTGTTTTACCTTAGTAAAGGTTATAATGTCACACAGACAACAATGTATCTCTTAGACGTGTTTATTTTACCCTAGTAACGGTGATAATGTTACATAGACAACATTGTATCTCTTAGACGTGTTTATTTTACACTAGTAACGGTGATAATGTGACATAGACAACAATTTGTCTATTAGACAGGTTGTTATTTTCCACTCACGATGATAATGTGATGTAGGTAACACTACATATGATGCTATTGTTATAATGATAGAGAATCTCATCCAGGACGTACACGTGACGTAGGTAATAACACATAAAACACCACTGTAAAAAAGATACAGAACGCGTTTAGTAAATGACACCACACTAACATTATGTAACCATAACAACATAAACTAAATTATTTACCTTGTGTTGAGAAGTTTTTTGTTTATTGTACAAATTACTTTTCTCGTGCTGGGTATCGCTAAGTCTCCAATGCACCTTCATATTTGTTACTGGTTAACTTGTTCGTACATTCAGACCAGTGATTCGTCAGTTTCCTGTACATTAACGTTCGAGTTGTATAATACTATCTGGAACTATTAAACGGCTGGATAGTAGAATATACTGTTAGAATGGAGTAACATACTATTAAACTGATCCCATTCTGTGAATTCATGGATGATTCTAACAACACGAACCTCTCTGTAAAATGAGAATTGTGTCAAGTTTTCAGTTCTTAATAAGAACGCTCTTTTGTATATCAGGATTTGTAGAAAGGTCAGTATTTCATTTGATAAACGTAAAAAAGACGAGTTTTTTTTCATGTGTGTATTGGAGCTGTAAATAAGTTTCAAAAGTAATGAACAGCTGAATTCGAACCCAAGACCTAAGCTAAATAAAATAACCCAATTTGGCCTGATCTGTACCACTGCTTCCTATTTGTTACCACAGTTTTATTTAATCTGTTTCTCTCTCCATGTTATTTCATTTCCACAGTTTGATCTGATCTGTCTCGCTCCATGCTATTTCATTACCACAGTTTGATCTGATCTGTCTCGCTCCATGCTATTTCATTACCACAGTTTGATCTGATCTGTACCACTGCTTCCTATTTGTTACCACAGTTTTATTTAATCTGTTTCTCTCTCCATGTTATTTCATTACCACAGTTTGATCTGATCTGTCTCGCTCCATGCTATTTCATTACCACAGTTTGATCTGATCTGTACCACTGCTTCCTATTTGTTACCACAGTTTTATTAATCTGTTTCTCTCTCCATGCTATTTCATTACCACAGTTTGATCTGATCTGTCTCGCTCCATGCTATTTTTATCACAGTTTTTATATGATCTGTCTCGCTCCATGCTATTTTATTACCACAGTTTGATCTGATCTGTCTCGCTCTATGCTAATTTGTTATCACAGTTTTATCTGATCTGTCTCTCCCCATGCTATTTTATTATTACAGTTTGATCTGATTTGTCTCGCTCTATGCTAATTTGTTATCACACTGTAGACATTTGTTTGGTTTCAGAACTTACGCTTTTTATACAGGATCATTTGTACTTGTGTATACTACACGTGATGAGGAAAATTTTCCCTTCAAGTAGCTGACGGTCGAATTACTTCACAACATTTTTTTCGGGCTTCTTGCCAAGCTGTAAGGTTTCCCAGGAGAGCCACACCGAACATAGAAATGACGGCTATTCATCAAAACAGGAAACCCCCCCCCCAAAAAAAAAAACAATACGCGTAGAAGAAACTTTCCTGTTCATGTTTCATTTTACATAACTGTTGACGATAACTCTCCATATTTTACTGAAGTTATTTGTTTCATTTTATATAACTGTTGACGATAATTCTTTATTTTACTGAAGTTATTTTTTCAGTTTACATAACTGTTGACTATAACTCTTTATTTTACTGAAGTTATTTTTTCAGTTTACATAACTGTTGACGATAACTCTTTATTTTACTGAAGTTATTTTTTCAGTTTACATAACTGTTGACGATAACTCTTTATTTTACTGAAGTTATTTTTTCAGTTTACATAACTGTTGACGATAACTCTCTCTATTTTTACTGAAGGTATTTGTTTTAGTTTACATAACTGTTGATGATAACTCTCTCTCTTTACTGAATTTATTTGTTTCAGTTTACCTAATTGTTCATGATAACTCTCTCTATTTTTACTGAAGGTATTTGTTTTAGTTTACATAACTGTTGATGATAACTCTCTATTTTTACTGAATTTATTTGTTTCAGTTTACCTAAGTGTCGTTGATAACTCTCTCTCTTTACTCAAGTTAGTTGTTTCAGTTTACCTAATTGTTCATGATAACTCTCTCTATTTTTACTGAATTTATTTGTTTCAGTTTACCTAAGTGTCGATGATAACTCTCTCTCTTTACTCAAGTTAGTTGTTTCAGTTTACGTAAATGTCGATGATAAGTCTCTCTATTGGAATTACATATGGCTGGGCCTATCTTAAGAAATTATTTCGATGAAATCAAGTTCGCTTCCTGTTGCTGCAAAAATATGCTTGCATTTTGGGGTCAAATTCAGCTACTGGGTTACATAAGAGCAGCCCAAGATTTGGCGCTGGGTGCTGTTAATTAGCTGTCTTTCTATAGTCTGTAAGTTCAAAATTAGAGTCAGCTATGTGCAGATAGCTCTCTGTGCAGTTGTCTGTGAAAATTCTAAAAAGAAAAATAAGTGAACGTTTCTATCTTTCTTTCTAGCCACTTAACAATCTTTTCAGCTTGATCAAGTATATCAAACAGCATTACTTATGTTTTAAAGTAAAGGTTAGTCACTAAGTCACACGTGGCTTACGTTTCTATCTTTCTTTCTAGCCAATTAACAACCTTTCCAGCTAGATCAAGTATATCAAACAGCATTACTTACGTTTTTAAAGTAAAGGTTAGTCACTAAGTCACACGTGGCTTACGTTTCTATCTTTCTTTCTAGCCACTTAACAACCCTTTCCAGCTTGATCAAGTATATCAAACAGCATTACTTACGTTTTTAAAGTAAAGGTTAGTCACTAAGTCACACGTGGCTTACGTTTCTATCTTTCTTTCTAGCCACTTAACAACCTTTCCAGCTTGATCAAGTATATCAAACAGCATTACTTACGTTTTGAAAGGTTAGTCACTAAGTCACACGTGTCTTACGTTTCTATCTTTCTTTCTAGCCAATTAACAATCTTTCAGCTAGATCAAGTATATCAAACAGCATTACTTACGTTTTGAAAGGTTAGTTACTAAACCACACGTGTCTTACGTTTCTATCTTTCTTTCTAGCCACTTAACAACCTTTCCAGCTTGATCAAGTATATCAAACAGCATTACTTACGTTTTGAAAGGTTAGTTACTAAACCACACGTGTCTTACGTTTCTATCTTTCTTTCTAGCCAATTAACAACCTTTCCAGCTAGATCAAGTATATCAAACAACATTACTTACGTTTTTAAAGTAAAGGTTAGTTACTAAACCACACGTGTCTTACGTTTCTATCTTTCTTTCTAGCCAATTAACAACCTTTCCAGCTAGATCAAGTATATCAAACAGCATTACTTACGTTTTTAAAGTAAAGGTTAGTTACTAAACCACACGTGTCTTACGTTTCTATCTTTCTTTCTAGCCACTTAACAATCTTTTCAGCTAGATCAAGTATATCAAACAGCATTACTTACGTTTTTAAAGTAAAGGTTAGTTACTAAACCACACGTGGCT